ACTTATTTTAGCAATTTGAATTTGTATGGATGTCAAAAGAAAATATAGTTCTTACTTGAAAATACTTAAAATACTTTAAAAAATGAGATTATGCATATATTTAAAGCATTGTTCTAGTTAAAGCTTAATGCATTATAAATTTAGAAGTTTAAAATTAAAACCTGTTTTAAAAAAGAAATTGAGCATTTGAAATTGCTCTTTGACATTGTGATATGAATAAATTTCATTCAAATAAAGTTTGAGTTTATTGAGTTAAATTTTTAAGTTTAAATAGCAGAACTTTTATAGTTGTTAGTATTAGTGAGATATTCTATTTCTATATCTTGGTAACATATTTTAGCATCTTTATGTTTTCAAGACTGATAAGAATGCTGTTTCCTTGTGGAAAATTCAGAGAAATTTTGTTACAGCTTCCACATTTAACATTTTTTCCTTTGGCTTTGAAGTACTTTAAAATTCATGAGATTTCCATTGATTTTATTAGCAACTTCTAGAAAGCCACTTTTTGAAAAACCACTTTTCAAACAATTTCTTGTGATAAACGAATCATTGGTAATGAGTATACTATTAAGTAATAGTGTTAACAAAGTAGGGGAATAATACACTCAGGGTTTTCTAAATGATTCCTTGCTGCCCTGAATGACTTATTTATATCTAATGGCATGTAATTTGCTTATAGAGGATAGTAATTTATTCCTTAGAAAGTAATGATATTTAGAAAAAAATGGCAAAAATGCTTCATAATAAGTCAAATTTGAATTTTCAAGAAACCCTGATTTTCAGTTGTGCTAACTTAACTATGTCTAGATGCCGTATAGGTACTTTACTATTGTAAGCTTATTTTAGATGCCTCTTTGGAGGTTGGTAAGAACATGTCATACCTAATGTAAATTTTTTATTAATCATCATTTAATTAGCCATTTTGTGAATTATTCAGGCCATTTTACATCTATTAAGGATTTCATGTTTTCACTTATTTCCACAATTCTATCAAAAAATTAAAAGGAATCAAAGGCAATAGAAATAGAAACCAAAATTTCTATCCTTCTATTACTAGTACTTGTTACTTAAGTCTGTTTATTTAGAAATTGAAATGGTTTTGAATCTGTCATTTTTTACTTTAACATTGCCAAATGGCTATATCATAGTTACTTCACCTGTGAGAAAAATATAATTAGCAAGGTGTTGAAATGAAGAAATGTGTGAAAAAAAGTTAAAGTGAGCTCTGTGTTAAGGAAGATAGGTGGGAGTCCAGATTCTTGGGGGGCTGTCCCCTTCCAGACCAGGTTAATGGCATAATATTCTCTTAAAAACTTGTTTTGCTTGCATGGTGTGAGTTGGTGGTCTGGGTCCTTTTAATTAAGAATCCATGATAAAGTTAGATTTCTTGTTGATCATCTTATGCTACGGGACTGAGGATTCATTGGTAAAGAACCACTAACCTGTCCTCTCACCCCTAGGGTGTGAACACTGAAAAGGATTAAGGCCCACTGTAGGGAAGCTAACACTGAAGCCTGCACTGCCCTTTCCCCTGTTCTTTTCAGTTAAATAGAAGATTTTTAGTTCCCATGACTATCAATCTGGTGCTTTTCACAAGCACCAAATTCTTTTCAGAAAATTAAGATGACTTATTTTTAGAAATCCACTGGCCTAGAATACTGAAAGATGATTTTTTGGTATTTTGTGTTGACAGGCCCTGTACATACTAATTTTTTTCTGGTGCATCTTAGTTTGCTTTAATTTATATTGAATTTAATGATTGATACAAACTTAAAAATCAAGAACAGATTTTTATATGGTTAGGTTTTCTTGTCTAGTAGTAATAGAGTTTGGCAGTGTTGAATCTTATATTTCTTTAGAAATAGCTATCAAACAACCCTGTGGACATAAACTCTTAACTTTTATTTCTAGATGACTACAATTATAAGGTGCTTTCTTTTCATGTTGAAAGGCTTTTAAATAGCTTTCATAAATGCTGAGGTGTCATGTATTTTTTCAGTATTTGCTCAATTGGTATTGTATTTAAGCTTGAAAATATATTTTGATTTTTTTAGCTAAAATAATTGCAGAGTATTAAACATTCTTGGTAGTTAAAGCTTTTTTTTTCCATTTAATTTGAGCTTTTGTTGTTACTAACAAATAATTTGTGGCACAGTTTCTCTCTCTCTCTCTCTTTCTTTCTTTCTCTTTTTCTTTCCTTTTTTAAATGACTGCTAAAATCTATATACTTGTCACCTTAGTGTCCTAGAAATGTTCCACTTAGATCAAGGGTTCCTTTCTGGTTTTGTATGTTCTCACCTGCTCCTCACTGTAAATCATTGAGATGTCAAGTGCAATGATTAATTAAGCTGCACGTGCAAGTGCTTTTTTTTCACCTGTCAAGCAGGAAAGAAGTCTTATCGCAAGATTAGATGCTGCTAATTCACAGCTTTTTCTCCAGACTGTCAAGTATGTAGAAATATTTTATATTTAGATGCTTATTCAGAATATTGCATATCAGGGTTTGTTTTGATTTGAGTTCTTAAATATTGTAAGATACAATTATTATACCAAACCCTATCATTAAACTCCTGATTAGAGGCAAAGAGTAAATTCAGAATTCCTACATAAATATTTTGGAATTTTAAGTTTATACTTTGTAATTACCTTTTATCCCAAAACTGCTAGTTAACTTCAGTTACTTAACATAACTATTTTCAAGTATCTAAATTGATTTTGTATGTACCCTGGGATCCATTCCTAATGAGATCCATTCTTGTTTATAATATAGCATAGGTTTAAATTTGTGATGAAATCTGATGATGGTAACTACACTTTTTTCTTTGAGTAATGAATATTTGCTGAATGTAATGTTAAGCTTTTACTTTTTATATGTTGATGTAATACCTTGGACTTGGATAGCTTGTTCTCCCCACCCTAGTTATTTCATTCTCCACCCCCCTTTTTAAACATCAGTAAGAGTAAAACCTCAAATTGTATAGTAATCTTAATCTATTATTAAAAAGTCCTAGAAAGGAAGATTACAAGGTAGATTCAGGTTTTGAATCGGTTTTGCCATTGGTTTAGCAGCGGGTGGGCAGGCAGATGCCTGCTCAGAGTAGAACCTATTGCCATTTTTCACCATTGATAGAGTAGCCTTTCAGAGTCAATGAGCTCTGTCAATGTGAGCTTGTCAAGGCTACAACTTCATAGACCTGAGAGGCGGTTTGAGAGGTCAGCCCTTTTCAGGTTCGCTGTGATGCAAATGAACTTTAATGCTTAAACAACTATTGGAATTTTTATGTCTGCTCCTTGTTCTTTTTTCTTCACAAAGTCATTGACGAGACATTCAGTGCTTTTTAAATTGGAAGTTGCATTGTGCTAAAGACCTAGTACAGATTTACGGAGGGCTGAAAGCAGTTAGATCATGTTCTTTTCATGGTGCGATTAGAATCAAATCGATTTCCCTACAGCCTTCAGCATTCAGATGGCAATTTTAACAAAGCTTGGGGGCTAGACAAGGGACAAAACGACTGAACTGAATGTTAATTACACTCTGCAGCCTTATTTTCTTTTGATTTGGGGCTGACTGGCAACTAAATTAACAAAAAGTGTGACCATAACTGCTGCCCTATTTTCATTTAAAAGGAGAGCTGCCTCTAAAAGGCTATCTTTACAAAGAAACAAGTGAGGTCTGCTGATCATTGTTAACAAGGGCACTTTTTTTCCTTTAAAATTCTTGCCAAAAAAAAAAAACTTCAAAAAAAGTAATGTGATAATTTAGTCATTGGCATATTATTGCTCAGAGTTAGGTGATTTTCTGATTTTTAGGACATAAGCTTGGAAAATGGTAATAGCGTGTAATTCATTGGTAGTTATGAATTATAATTGGCACCTATGTGACTAGTGTATCTTTAGTATGTACAGCATGCTAAAAGGTAATATGGTAACTTAGATTACAGTAGATACTTTAAAGAAATATTAACCATTTGTTATGTAACATTAAACTATTCAAAACCAGCTTGGTCCTAACAATTTTTCACCTCATCCTTGCTTGACATGCAAATTTTCATATTTGATTATTAGTACTCATTTAGTTGTGCACGTTAATAGCGCTAGATGCTGCTTTTTTCCTTCCCTTGCAAGGAAGCTGCAGCTGCACCAAGTTGCAGTTGATTCTTGTGGCAACACTGTCTGTCCCTTTTGCACCTGCAGCTGTGTCAGTCTCATCCTGACACCTGGCGTCATGAATTATCCTTTCCTTTATTCATACTTCCAGGCAAGACCCATTTCATGCTGCATAGTAGATACTGCAAAAATCAAGTGTACTGAAACAGAAATTTCTCAGTTGATTCTTTTAACAGTAGTATTGATTTAAGCATTTCAGTATCATTTTTGTTGGTTTATTTATAATATTTTGCCTCTGAAAATCTTTATCTGTGGGATAATTAATAAACAGGCTTTTAAATTTGGGTATTATTTTTAAGTATGATGTGAGAATTTGTTTTGATAGCTAATTGATTTTTTTATCTATTAATGTTTAATTATTTTCTTTTTGATTTTACCCTAAAGTCATTTGTATTTTGTTAACTAACATTTAAATAATTAGTTTTAAAATATGTATGAAGGAACTTTTATCACTAAGTACTGCAAAAATATTTTTGAAAGAAATGGATTAAAATTTATATCATTTGGTAGATGACATCAACTTTTTATTTATTCTTATTTTTTTTTGACATTCGCTTTTTAAAAGACTTTGATAGTTTCATATCAGAGGCTGATAAGTTTGAAACAGTTAAAAAAAGATACAGTGCTGAAGAATAAAACTATATCTTTATTAAAACAGAGTACTGTTTCTGTTCAGGGTACTATTTAGTACTAAAATGTTGAATGTGTTACAGACCACCATGTACTCACTCAGTCACTGTCTTCTATCTCTCTCCTTTTCACAAAAAACAGCTGCAAAACAAAGTTTTTCTAAAACCAGTCAAGAGTAAACTTTTTTCTCATTTGTCTTCCAGACACGAAGATCGATTGAGAAGTTATTAGAATGGGAAAACAATAGGTTATACCACAAGGTGAGTACCACAGGGAGCAGCTTCGTACTGTTGGGGTCTGAATTGCACAGTATGGAAACAGATGCTTTTGTTGAACTAAAAATATGAAAGGTGGACAAATGGGTTAGTCTGTGTGCTGCAGGAGAATAGGGCTCATTTTTCTTCTTTTCCTCTCCTACTTGTCTAGCTGTGCTTGCACTGGAGGCTGAGCAAAAGGAAATGTGAAACGAATAACATGATGGAATATGTAAGTTAAAGGGCTGTTTTGTGAGTTTCTCTATTAAATGATCATTTATTTTGCTTCTGATCTTATTCTTTCCATGATTATTAATCAGCAAAGGTGTCAGGAGCTTAATCTCCTGAGCGTAGGGATTTTCTACGGTTCACAGATGCATGGTTTCATGTGCAAGACTGATTTATAAAGTTATGAATGACTTGAAAACAAGGCTTCACTGTGTTCTGAAAAATAATAAATTAATTGCCAAGATAAAATAGCCTGAACATGTGTTGATGGAGTGTGAAATTTTAGATGCTGTATAAAGAATAACCACAACTTTGGTTACGCAGCAAGTCAGATATGGCTTTTTTATATAATGCTAATCAAGTTTCCAAGTATGGAAGAAAACCTTTCAGCCAAGCCGTTGGAGCTTAAGAAACCTTTAGCCTTTATATATTTTAACTGCCCATACCTCAAGTGACCTTTAAAGAATCTTTCAAAGTGTTATTAGAATATTGTTTTATAAAAATTATCTTAAAGTAAAGCAGGAGAGGAGATGTTGCTCATCCTGTATTCTTTAAAAGATATCTAATGGGCATATGTATACAATGAATTTTAGAGTTTATTCAGTATGGGGTTTAATTTACTGACTCCTTGATTTACTTGAACAATTTTTCTCCTTTTGAGAAGTTCAGAATACTGTAGAAAATCATGAATTTTTATTTATTCTTCCCTGAGCTTGGGTGTTTTATTTTAAATTTGGAAAGGTTATTATAATAAAAGAAAAAGATCTGTGGAAGAGTTAATTGTTGAAAATGAAAGTCGTAGTCTTTGTGAAGTAAGCAGACATACTTCTGGCAGATTTTGTCTATTCTCTGAAACAATATAGCCATCAGAGATAGTATATGTATGTGTGTGCATGTGTGTGAGAGTGTGTGTGAACAAGAGATTGATTAAAACAGTGCTTAAATAGTTGGAAATTATCATAAAATCATTTTTCTCTGTAGCGTTTTCCCTTTCTTTCATTATCATACAGTCAAATCCCATTTCTAGCTTTGAACATAAAAGACATCTTAAAAATGTCTTTTTTCATAGAATAGCTCTATTCACTGAATCAAAGAATGTAGACTTTATCATTATCTGTTATATCAAACATGTTAATTTATGATGATGAGAAAGATACTTGATACTTTTTTTTATTAAGAAATGCTAGTCTAGTGCTTTCATCATAGATGGTAAGAGTTTATATATTTTGGGAGGAGGAATGATTTAAAGGATTTTGTGAAAAAATACTTGCTATATTTATGAACTGAAATACTAATACATTTCTAAATTTACTTTGGAAAGGAAAACATGAAAGTCATTTCCAGTGCTGTTATTTCCAGGTAGAACTATAAGAACATCATTCATTCATAAAATGCCCTCAAATATTCATGTTTATTTTTATGACATTCTTTTATTAACTAAAAATAAAATAATTTAACCATCCAAAACATTCTGAACTATGTACTTTGTAAGATAGTGTAATTTATCATGAATTTTTAGATAAACACTTTTCCTAAAGCCATATTATTTTGTATACCATCATAGAAGATATCCAGAAGAGTTGTTCAAAGGAAAAATATAGGGGTGGCTGGCTGGCTCAGTCCGTGGAGCATGCGACTGTTGATCTTGGGATTGTGGGTTCGAGCCCCATGTTGGGTATAAAGATTACTTAAAAATACAATTTTTTAAAGGAAAAATATATAAAAATTGCTACAAAAATGTATTTTTTTCTAAATTTTCGCAGAGTATGTATATTTGTGATAGTTGCTTGGGAGAATAACATAATTTCAAAAACTCCCTAAGAAATAATTTTTAAAAGTTAAGATAGCAAAATAGTATGAAGAGTGCTTCATTTTTCTAATGAATTGGGGCCCTTTTTACCACATATTTCTCTTTGACCTCAACTTTTCTTTAACTTACAGAAATTTCATTTGTTAATTAAAAGAAAATGATTCTCCTTGATTATATTTTGAATATTGGGGACAATCTAGAAAAAATACCAACTTGATACCAACTTTTATTTGGATACAGTAGAATAGTGTGATTTAGAGGAAATGTGACAAGTGGCCAGTTTCTATGTGTGACTTCTTTCTGTGTGTGAAAAGAGGTTATAGGATATATTCTTTAAAAACTAATGATAATTCAAATATAGTCAAAGGTAGCCTTTATTTTGCATTAGATGCTAAACACTGTAAAATGTAATGCCTACACCTAAGAACTGAAATTTATAAAAACTGTCTGATGAGGACATGTATGAAATATAGAAGTGTTTATTGAATGTTGACTCATAAGTAGTTTAAACATCAAATCAGGTAGTTTAATCATCAAATTTTAGAGCTGCAGTGAATTTTGTCATCTAGCCCAATCCCTTTATTTATTATATGAGGAAACTGAGAAACGGGAATCTAGCTCAAATAAAAAGCTGTAGGAAACCAGTGAACATTTTGTTGGCAAATACCAGGTCAGAAGAGTGGCAAAGGGTGGCACCGAAGGCTTAGTACAGGATAACTAAAGTAGGAGAGAAGTATTTTTGAGCTGTGTGTAGAAGAGCCTTCTTTATTGAGGCAGATCAAAAATCAGGAGAATTGAAGAGTGAAAATGAAAGTTTCTGGCTCATTTGGCTAAATGTAGAAGAGTGTCCAAACCTGGAGGTTATATCAGGACAAGTTTCTGATAGAAAAATGAGGAGTTCACCAAACTTGGAAGCTGTTCAAATAATGTTTTGTTTAGCATCAGTTTCATACAGAGTTGGAACAAGGGAAAGAATTGATTGTCGTTTAAGGCAGTTCAAGTTTGGAATAAAAATTAGCTCTGTTCACCTTGTGTTTTTCTGTGTTAATGTGTTTTGTTTTTATTGGTTTTCCTTTCGTTTCATAGTAAAAGGTCCTTTGGAACAAATTTAGTCTTTAATATTGCTGACCTAAGAAGAAAAGAACTTTTTAAAAGAATTAGAGATAAAGGACCCTTTATCAAGAGATTACATATCATGGTAGGGTAAAGTGAGAGCAAATCTAGAACCCAAAGACCCATAGAATTGGGTGAGATAAAAAGGAGGAAGGCCAAAGAAATAAACATTGGGTTGGTTATAACCACATGGTGCAGTAGAAAGGGCAAGGCTTTGGAGTTAGGGTAGTTCTTTGTTCAAATATTGACCCCACAGTGCGTGGTGTTATACTTACTTGGATCATCAGTGTCCTCATCTGTAAAATGAGGGTAATAATACTTGCCTCATGGAGAAGTTCTTAGGATTAAATAGATCCACAGAGTATGAGACACTTGTTATGTAGTCAGTTCTTAAGAAATGCTGGCTCTGGCTCCCTTCGTCAGTCACCCCCGCATGCATTTTCCTTCAGGGGCACTGTCAAAATTGCTGTAAGTGATGGCATAGAACGGAAATTTGTTTAAGATAAAAATTTATTTAAATCTTTTTAAAACTTTTTTTTCTCCTTCTACAGGTCATCCTCATAGAATTTTTACCAAAGACACCGATTTTTCGACCAGATTAGCATTTACTTTATTTATAGAGACTTTCCAAGTATGTTGTCTTTCCAATGGTGCCTTGCTTGGTGCTCTCCTGGTGGTGACATAACATTGGTTCTACAGAATCGTGTGGTGTTTTTTTCTGTTTTTGTTTTTTTTAAATAACCGCATGTTCTAAGTGTGCATTTTTGTCAAACTTTGCAAGTTATTTCATACAGATGTTTAATACTTAAGTTATTGTGCTCTTTTCTGTTATGTATTCTGATTTTCAAGGATTACTTTTTTTGTATTATCGAAAAAATACATTTGAAATTAGCATAAAAAGTGGCCAGCCTTTTTTATTTTATCACCAAGGTACACACAGTCCTTTATTTATTAATTCCATAATATAGAAGAACACTTTTGTAAGGCTCTACTTATCTATTCTAGCAAGCACACTCTTTGTATTATTTTTCTTCCTTTTAAAATTTAAAAGTTATTATTTTAAAATAGTAAGTTTTCTTTAATAGCTTTTTGGAACCTAACATACCCTTTCCCATACAATTCCTAATGCTCTGTTTACAGCAGAAATATCTGTAACATTATGAAGACCTATCAAAAATTTTTGATAGTATTTCTGTCTTCAGAGGTAGTAAGGCAGGATTAAATTATTTTTATTAGAATAGACAAATAATGAATGGTATGCATGCACCTAATGGTTACTAGAGCTCAGGATCACAAAATATAGTAGCATTACAATCTGTGTATATTTTTGATCAAGATGATAATAATGGCCTTACTTGCGTTATTTTTTATTGTTTGTCAAATCTTATATAGAAAAGTATGGAAATACTCCTTTTAAAAATTTCTAAGGAAAATATTTCTCCCAATCTAACATAATTGTAGAATGGATGTATGTTTCTGAAAGGTTTTTGAAAGAAAGCAAAAGTTGTAGAATTAAAAGTAAGCTGGTGTTTAATACCCCATTGATATTTAGAAGAGATTATTACTAAGAAATGGAGGACATATTTAGTACTGTTTTTATCCACTAGTTTGCTTTCAGTCCAGTTATGTATACTTTTTTGATTGAGAATGTGACATATAAGTTTAATCAGATTAGCTTGTTTCTTTTAAATATATACAAACATACATATTTTTTTCCTTCCTTTTGTTGTACATATCTCCATGCATTTTAAAACTTTCTAAATTTCTGAATGGCCTATGTGTAAAGTTTTGTTTTTATAGACCTGAAATTATAAAAGTTTTAATGTGTGTCAAGAACTTGTTCCATACAACTGTGGTATCTAGCAATAATGTGAATAACTTTTGAAATTATTATATAAACTATGCTTACTAATTTGTATTAAGAATTGGTACCACTATACAATATCTTTTCTCCTTGTATTAAATATTTTAAATACCAGTTTCATTAATTTATATACCTGTATTTTTTAAAAGTATTTCTCTGTACTCCTCCAAAGTACTGTAATTCTATATAAATTTGAATAGTTGGATTCTAGTATCTTAAATCCTATATCCTATATTGGACATTAGGAACTATCTTAAAAATTAGGGTTGTTTTTTTTTTTTTCAGCTGAGAATTATTTATTTCCATTGCCCCCCAAAACACTTAACAACTTGAATTTATAAACCACTTTTCCTATGAAGAGCTCAAAGTACAAATAATTCAGACCCCTCTCGCTTTATTGACCTTGTGTCCAGGGTATGTCCTACCACCTTAAAGCAGTAGAACTAAAAGGTAATGCTATTACAAAAACGAGTATTCCTATATGGTTTCAGTGTGAACAGTTGTTGTCTGGAGAAGGCTAAATCTGCCTCAGGATTCAGAAAGAGCAGAAAAATATAACTCTGTAGGCTCTGCAACACAGTGTTCTATATCTAAAATTCTGTAAATTTGTAGAGTACCGTATTGATCAGCTTTATAGGAAGAACTGTACCTCTTTCAACATGATTTTTTTCTCCTGTTACTAGTTTTCTGGAAATTTTAATTTAAAAATTATTCCCATAAGAATATTTTAACGTAAGATAATTTTCACAGTTGATAGTATTTAGGTATAGGAATTCTTTTAAAGCTTTTCTGATTTTGAGAGGCATGGCAGTTGCTTTAAGGTCCTGAGAAATGTGCACTCTTATATTTCCAGTGTATATATAGAAAAGAACCATGAATGCTTAATATGTGGCATTACCATTAGCCAGTTATGCCTTGAGCAGTTAGATTTCCATGTTTGGGCTTTTATTAGTAGCCCCCAGTAAGCCCTCTGGCTTATTCTTTCTTGATTCATGAATCTAAGTGCCCATGTTGCTGGAAATTAGAAATGTCAGAGATGCCGATGTTGTGTGAACATTAGTCCAAAGGAAGTACTTAAAATGATAATTGTTCTTCGGTTCTTGTTTTCTGACTTAAAGTTTGTGAGACATGAACCATAGGTACTTTTAAAACTGGCCAAGAAAAGGTATCATTGGCAGAAAATCTAGCGTATAGATTTTGCATAGGCTAAGTGAATAACTTACAATCTTTTATATATTACTGGCATTTTACAGGTAATCCATCATTCTTGTGTAGAAACATTTACTTTTCCAAAGCTTTTATTTTAATACACTATTATCTGTCAAATAAATAAATAAAATCTTTAAAATATATATATATATACTCTAGAACCTAAAGGCTATAAGTAAAATTCAAGTGACACGTTTAGCTTCTATGGCAGATACTGTCCCTGCTCACAAGAGGGTCACCTTACCTATATAAAATGGTCATCAGATGCTTTATTAAGACTCTTTAATGACTAGGTTCCATTCATTTGAAATATAAACATGTAATTTTGGCCTAAAATCAAGAAGTGTTCAAACCTTTAATAGTAAGCAATAATTTCCTTTTCTTACTAGAAAAACTACTTTTATAATTGAACATTTTAAATCAGGAAGAACTACAACTTTCTCCATGGCTTTGTTTTCAGTGTTATTTGTAGACAACCTCTGATTGCTTCTTTATTAGTAGACACAGGCAAACTGTATAAAACTTTGACAACATTCCATATCAATCTTGAGTTATAAAAGAATATTAATAGTAACATGTACAGCTGGATCCACAGTTGCATGCGTTCAAACTACAGTAGTCTTACATAACATTATGTACGTAGACTGTTTTAACTTTTATGGTATTCTGCTTCACAATTATAATGTTTAGCTGCATGCCTGATTTTCACTGTAAATATTTGGTTTGGCTCAAGTATTGGTCAGTAGTACTAAATCAGAAGTACAATTGGTTTAAAACTGTCTTTGACTGAATTCCAACATCTAGTCCTGGAACCCTCTTTCCTCCTATCCTACTGAAGCAGTGTGGGTCCTTTTGCTGCCCTCCTGATGTCCAGAGTCTTCATCCAGATGCAGACATAGTTCACCATTGCCTTTTGTTTTCCTTCCCCAGAGCTTGCAGTACAAATGGTAATTCTTTTGCATTCTTAGCTAGGTGTTTAGAAGGCCAATTAAAGTGAGTTAGTCACATTAAGTGATTAATGGGTGACACTCCATTCTGCTAAGGTGGCACTTGCATTTTAAGTTTCTAAACTCAAATTTCCCATTGGAGCAGTGGTTCAATTGGTATTTTCCTTATCAACAGACCCTATCGGTCCAGACTTCACAGGGAAAGAATAATAGGATGGTTGCATGTGGGGCTTCTCAAACCACCATTTCTGAAGAAAGCTGATTTATATCTACTATTATGGCAGAAAGAATAGGCTCAAGGCCAATCCTAAACCAAATAAACCGAACTATTAATTATCCCATAATAGTTGTGTTAAATATACTTTTAGGTATAATAACCAACTTTATGTTATTTTTAGGAACATGCCTTTTATATAAGTTGAGATGTGAAGGTGATTTTTCTTTAAAACTTGAGTTATCTTGTTCTGTACTTTTACAAAGATGTTTAGATAGTAATGTAAGGGAAACCTAAATATTGTTTATATTATTATTCATAATTCTGTGTACTAGGGAGCAATATTCCCCTTCCTCCTACAATGGTAAATTGAACAACAGCGGTTGTTTGTAGCCTTAATAGACAATACTGAAAATAGAAATTCAGAATGCTAATCCTGATTTTGAAGTTGTTTCTGATGTTCTACAAAATCATCAAATTACTTGGCTTCTTTGCATTTATCTTTTTTCACAAAAGGAAGATACTATGACTACCTCATATTTTAAGTCATTTATTTTGCTGTTATTTACTAAGTCCTATATAAAAGTAGAAATGAACAAGTAGCTTTTTTGACTTACTTACAGAGTCAGCAGAAACCTGAGTTACTATCAAATTTTGCATTTAAAATTAAAGAGAGTACTCCATATATATATATATATATATATATATAGTAATGATTTGCATGTTTAAAGATCACATAGACATTAAGTACAATACTTGAGAAAAGTTTCTTTCTAATACCCTGTAAGACGTAGTTACATTTCAGATACTTAAGCAAAATCATGCCCCCCTCTTTAAATAGCATCTCTACTTCATAAACATGGTGCTCTGAATTTGAGAGTTGACTGCTTTTTTCTCTTTATGAAGGATAGATAGTGTATCGCTTTCTCAGCTCTTTATCTCAGAAATATTTCAGTAAACTCACCATACCAGGCATTCTTAATTTTGGCAGATAAGCCAAAATTGTATGTATTTGTTTTTAAAGAAAGTCAACCAGCCTTTAAGAGAAGACAAGTAACAGATCAGTGTTTTGGCTACTCTATTGGACCATAATACATTCTCAAACTGCAGATTTCCTCTCCTGTTCTCTTTCCTGCTGGTTCGTAATTTAGTATAACTGGTTCTAGTTCTTTCTTGACATAAATTCTATATGGATTTAAAATGTTCAAGAAGGAACAAGCATTCTGTTCCCTCAAGAAACCTTTTGCACTAATAAAAGACCACCTCCTTCTTTCTCTTCTAGTAGCAGCTTATTTAATTAGGTAATTACAATAATCTCATTGCATTGCCATGAAGTCTTCATAAACAGGAGTTTGTTTTAACTGAAGTTATCAAAGCTCTTTTAAAGTCTCTCTTTCTTTTTACATTTGTTGGAGCTAATGAATGACATTTTGTCCTCTCAGAAGAGTTAAGCATTATGAAACTGGCAGTGGAAGCAAGGTAGACCTGATTGGAAAGCAGTGTGCTGAAATCTACTGGCTGAGAGAAATAACTGCATTGTTACCCTACACTTTGGTTTACAAGGGGCAAAATTATGCAATGGTGGGGAACTGCGCAGAGCTATATGCTTCCTTTTATATAGTCTTTATGTATTACAATGGAACTTTTTTTTTTAAAGAAAAAATATTGTTCTAGATAGAGTTTTCCTCTGCTATCCTGTCCTTCGAGAAGATAACGGGAGGCTACCTTGAATAAAGTATTCTTTTATTTATCTTTTATAATGTAAGTGTGACAGTTTTTTAAAAAACACTAAATAAAGGATTTTAGGAATTTATTCCTATATCCTTAATAAGCATGGAAAGTTTTCAAATAAAATAATCAGAAACTTATGGTAGGGGAGCAGTTATGCAGACCCAAGATCAGGGTCCCTATTATGTTTTCAGGTAATTCTAGTTACATTCAGGTAAGTCTAGTAACATTTTAAAAAATGAAAATGACTTTTGTAAAATATATAGTTGAATCTTAAAAGGTATATATCATATTTTTCTTTCATTCTTAGGAAATTAACACCATTGTCAAACATCTGTGTTAAAACAAGATGGGGTTTAGATAAAAATTTTTTGGCCTTCATAATTGTGAAGAAATATGTAGATGGGTTATATTTAAAGTGGTTTGGTTTTTGGTCCCATGTTGGTTGCAGTATATTTAGTCTTATAAAATCAAGTCCTAATTGACAGGGTTTTTCTAGTAAACAAATGGATTTCTAAATCGAGCCAGGGGACTTTTTTTTTTTTTTTTTTTTTTTTTTTTTTACTTGCTTGCTTTGGCTAGTTGAGTTTTTGTTGTTAAGTGAGTTGGTTTTAATGCGTGACTTCAGTACGTGATTCTGTGCTTGAAACTAAAATGTGGGCTAATTTACAGCATTTGTTCTTTAAAGACTATACTACATTAAATAAAATTTTAAGCCAATTTAGGTGAAGTTGGAAAAGAGAGCCTGGCGCTTAGAGATCAAATCACTTTAAAAGAAATTGGCCAAACTAATGATGTCTGTTGAAATGACCATATGAATGAATACACATACAAATACTTCTTCTGTATATATGATCTGTACAAATATCTGGGAGTAAAATAATTGACATCATGAATATGAGTTTAAGAAACATGCATAATAAAGAAACTTTTGTATTTATGTGTTCATAAACTTGCACATAGAAAAAAATAGAGAAAAGGTACAACTTACATATTATCTTTTTTCGCCAAAGATC